CATGTTGGACACATTCTAGCTGTAATGCTCAAGGAAACAGGTGGGCAGTGGCCTTTAGTTTAAAGGTTTTTGTGTGAGATTTATTTGTGGTGGATCAGCATGGGTGAAAGGATCAAATCCCATATTTATCAAGATATTCTTGGCTTGTGGGGACAAAGATGGAATATTAAGAAAAGCTCCAAATTGTTTAAGTATATCTCGGCCCCATAGATTGATAGAGATATCCACTATATAAGAAGAGACAACAGCCGTTTGTCCCTCTGGCCCGACACGTCATGGGTGAAGAGCTTTGAAAGACATCTCAGGTACTTCCCAACCTAGATAAGGTAATTTGTACTTTTTGTTTATCCCAAGATGTAGGCCATGCACTTAAAGAAATAATGGAGACATCAGCCTCAATGTCAATTAGTCTTAAAAATTCTATATCTTGTATTTTTAAGATCAGAGTGGGTCTCTGGTCATTAATTGTTTCCCCCCAAATTTCCCTCCAAAGTCCCCCCCACTTTGGGAATGTTCTATTTTTGGGAAGGTTACATAAGGAAGAAGCAACAGTTGGGTTACACGCTCTCCAGGGAGAACATGTAGTGTTTGGGAAACACTTGCCATAATTTTAATTTCTCCATTGTAATCTTCATCTATCACTCCTACATGCACAAATAATCCCTTCATGGTAGAACTGCTACAGCCGATAATCAGTCCCACAGTCTTTGGAGGGATGGGACCAAAGACACCTGTTGATAATTTGTACACTCCTCCACCGGGGGATGAAGTATAATTTTGAGCAGAACTAAGATCAGCAGCAGCACTGCCGAGGGTGGCTGCCCGAAGATTGGACACTGTTAATTTGGAAAATTGCTCATTTGGTGTGCCACCCCATTGCTGACAGGGAAGGAGACCCTGTATTGTTCTGCGGGGGCCAGGACCGAGGCCCCTCCCCACCATTTCCCGGTGGGGGGTGAGGGTTGACATCCTATCAGTGCGGGATCTACATGTCTGAGTCCAATGCCTTCCTCTCCCGCAGCATCTATAGAACCCTAAAGGCACCTTAGATGCTTTTTGTGCGAAATTATATTTTTTACTCTTGCAGTCACTTTTTATATGTCCAGGTTTCCCACAATTAAAACAAGTTAGTTTAGGAGTACCTTTCTGAATTGCGGTAGCAAGAATTTCAGCTTGATAAGCAACTCCACCTATGCCAGCACAGGCTCTTATAAATTCATCAACCGGAGCGCCGCTAGCTTTTAACAGGCAAAGTGCTTTCTGACACTCTGGGTTTGCATTTTCAAACGCCAATACTTGAAGAAGCGTGTAAGCTGCAGAAGTATCTCGTAAGCTGCAGAAAACAGCATCCTTTAAATGAGATAAAAAATCAGTATATGGTTCTAAAGGACCTTGGGTGGTTTTTGTGAATGAAGGGGCTATCTGTCCTGAGATTTCAATTTTCATCCATGATTTTAACACTATGGACTTTACCTGGGTTAAGGCCAAATCACTAAGTCTAGCTTGAGCTTCCAAGGACGCATGAAACTCTGTCCCGGTGAGTGTACAGACTCCACCAGACCAGGAGGTTGCCAAGTGGCATTCCTCCTAGCTTGTGAGGTAGCTTCCTCATACCACCAACTTTTTAACTGTTACCATTGTGAACATTCCAAAACAGTTTTACAGATATTTTCCCAATCCAAGAGAAGCAGCAAATTTTCTGCAGAAACAGTGTTAAGTAGGCCTAATACAAAAGGAGATTGGGGGTCATAATTTTGGACAGCTTGTTTTAACTCTTTCAGGATCTTATTATGTTACTGGGAGATAATTTGCCTCAAGTCTTCCTTGAGGGAATTGGGTGTTAGGAGGGATTGCTCGTCTAGTGATTGGGAAGACAGAAAAGCTAGTGGGTGTATGATGAGAGGTGGAAGGAGAGACAAAACCAGGAGGTGGTGGGAGATCTTCATCACAAGCACCAGGACCAGGACCCTTGGGAACGGTAAAGGAGCGTCCAGATGCTGGCAGCGGTGGCGGAGGCAGGAGAAAAGTGGGAAAGGCAGCAAGCTGCGGAGCAGAGGGTGAAAGTTTGGAGGGAGTGGCAGCTACTGTCAGTTTCTCTATAAACTCCATCAATATACAAGTGAGCTTCTGAACATCAGAATGAGAGGCAGAAGACACACTAGAACTATTGTTTTCTTGATCAGACCCACCCCCACCTTCCTCAGGGGAGGTGGCAAACTCAAAACCTCTGGGACATCTTCATATAGAGGACTACGCCTATCAGAGATAGCAGAGCAAGCATCTCTCTCAGAGTCCATTCCTAACAGTAGCAAAGCTTGAGAAATAGAGCTACAAAGGGACCACAAAGTAGCAGGCATCGTGTTCCCGTTGATGAGCCTGGTGAAGAGTTTTAACAACCTTATGCCAGGCTTCATTATTTAGTTGCACCTCTGACTGAAAGCGAAACCAAAAGCAATGTTTCTGGACCCTGGCAAATAAATCTTTCAACAGCTTATCTTTGGCAGTTACACCAAGAGAATGCAGAAGTCCTTGTATGAGCTGTTGATACTCCCTCTTAAGTGAGGGAGCTCCCCATTAGTACTCCTTGTTTTTTCCAGAAGTTCAACTATCGCGGTGTCGGCTTACCCGAAGTTGGCCCTTCTTCTGGGTCCCAAGTCACCCCTGGCATCCTCTCTCCAAATTCTTCAGGGTTGTGGGGTCCTGCCCCATCGTGGGGTCGTCCATGCGTGCCCCACGTTGGGCGCCAGATGTTGTGTGCTGCTCGCTCGGGTGACATGAGAGTGAACAAAGAACACAGACAACACAGACACACAATGGCTGCAGCCCCGATGTGGTGCAGCACCTTTACTTTTATACTGCCTTTCTCGGACCTCAGCCAAGTGCTATACTCATCTTTCCCTTCTCAGCGCGGACAGGCCAGAGCACCTTGTTGATTTTCTTAGAATCTGCCCAGTAAGCAGGGCCAGTGTTTTCACACGTCCTCAAGGTCTCCCTGTTTTCAGTGTGAGGCGTCCTGGCTCGTTTTCGAGGACAAGATATGCTTTTATGGGCAGATAACGTCCAAGGACT